ATGGACCAGATTACCTCAAAATGAGCTAGATAATTTAATCCTAAGTATGCCTCGTAGATGTAGAGCAGTTGCAAACAGTAGAGGAGGTCACACTCGGTACTAAGAACACAAGCTTTTATTTTTTTCGTATTGATTTTGTTAATTCATTTATAATAAATTTTATTAATCAAGTTTGTAATTTTTATTTGCGAAGAATAAAAATTGTTACCACCTAAATTTTGATTTATTTTATATTGTTAGGACTTTTTAATTGAAAACAATTACAAAATAAAATAAAAAAATTAATAAAGAAGTTTTTAATTTCACTTAATCATAATATCCCTAGACTTTTTTGAGTAGTGTAAGTCAGGGTGTGTAGACCACCCTTAGGTCAGGGATGTGTTAAAGTGAAGGTGTAGAGTGACACCTTACGGGTGGTCGACCGCGGTCTAGCCACGCGTTCAGATGCTTTTCACGTGACAAACAAAATAGGATAACCAAGGGAGGAAAGGTCAATTTGCAATTCTCGATAAGTAACCCTAAAATCTGCATGACCTAATATTAATTGCCACCATGAAAGGTACCTTGGAAAACCATAAATGAGGCACTTTTCCCTTCAATATGAGAAAACTAACCAAAAAAAAAATAATAACAAAAAATAAAATAAACATAAGGCACCAGTAACAAAACAACAACAAATAAAACAAAACCGCCCCAACTCTTAACTCGGACATAGGAAAGCTGAATAAGGCAATAAATCTATAAATAACAAACGACAAAGACTAAACCCATAAATTAAAGAAAACGGCCCAACAAAAAACGTTAAACGTAACTATGCTAACAAACACTTCAAATCCAAACAAACATTCAATTAAGAAAACATAAACACAAATAATACACAAAACGAATTCTAATGGAATTGGTAATTACATTAGTATACAGAGGAAGTCAAAAATACCTCCCACCGGTAACTGTCAAATCGTATCAATGCACACCAACTGTTTAATACAAAGTTAAGATTGCAACGCAAAAGAAAACAGCTGAGACAAGACAATAACAAGTGCAGGAACAACCCAACACGGACAGAGACAATAACGGTCAAGACGTTGACCACGACCAGTAAACTAGCCCCCTGCAGCGAACTAACAACTCCCAAACTCCATTAATCCCAAATGTAAAAAAAAACAACTGACACACTTTACCAAGTGCAGGAACTATCTGACCAGGACACGGACAATGATAATAACGAACAAGACGAAGACCTCGACTAGGAAACTACACCCCTGCAGCGAAATAACAACTCCCCAACTCCAAATAGTAATCCCAAATGTTTGGAGTAATACTAATTGACTGGTCTAGGGGGATTCCGCGTCGTACTTAGTTTTAAGTCGGCTTAATTGTCCCCGAAAAACCAACAAACGTCTATCCCTCCCGTCCCTTCTGCTCTATACCCTACTGGGCGTATAGCATCGACTCGGCAAACCCGAGAATGGCTATTAAAACTATTCGCATGTCGCTCTCGAGCCCCAAATAGGGGACAGTACAGAACGCAATGGACATTCGCACCCAGCAAACACGGGTGAAGCCGTGCAGTTGCTGGGGGCGAACAAAAATCGGCGTAAGTAAACATAGGCCTGTACGGGGTCCGGGAGTGATGAGGCAATGGGGCTGGTTATACGTTTCTTATACTCATACTCATACTTAATATTTTAGTCTGTTTAAGATAGTGATTATCTTATGGAACCAGCCGCCCAGGGGTTTCTTATAAAACCTTTTTTTCCCTTTCATTTAGACCCATTTTACTTCAATTTCCCCATTTTCAGATTGTTAAATTAAATTAAAACGGTGGATGGATCTTGAAGGTACTTTTTGATTTTTGTCTGTGCCAACCCGTTTTTAACGTGGAGAACGTTGTTGCGCACCCGCACTAATCTATTTGTAACTTTATTATCTGTCGTTGCCTTTTCCTACCATTCCATTTTTAATTTGTTTATTAAGACCCGGCATCGATATTTATATGTATACATAGGTATTTATAAATAGGTAAGTGTTTATTTGCTACTCTTTTCGGTTTTTTAACGAATTTTTTTTTAACTTTTTAAGTGTAGGTTTAATAAATATATAAAAATAATTTGAAATAAGTGTACCGAAACTATATATAGTATTGCCTGGTTTAAGCAGACTTAAAACTTAAGACTTAACATTTAAGAAGTTAAAAGTTAGGTTATTTCATTGATTTTATGCACCATTTAAGACTTAAGACTTTTAAGTTAAAACAACTAAGAAAAAAGACCTTGAAAGATAATTAACTTTTATCTTTTCTTCTTCTTCTTCTTTAGATATTGGCCTTTAATCCATTTCTGATTATTTGGTCAGCTCATGATAGGTAGTCTTTTCTTCCATCCAATTTTCCAAGAGGTCCGGTTAAGAACGTCTGAGTAGTCTCATCTCTTGGGTTGGATATATGTAGTTGTTGCTTCTTTTGCCAAATGGATTGCTCTTGTTATTTTCAAATGTTATTGTTATTAATGTTATTATTATTATTATTTTTTTTTTGGTGAGAACTGTTTAGACAACACAGACAAAGGTTGAAACTTTTCACGTTTAGGGGCAACGGCCAAACGACTTAACACACACCCAGGGGTTGCCTCGATTAGGATCCAGGGAGGTTATTGGAGATAGGAGATCTGTAAAATATAAATAATTACAATTTGATTTGATTTTTGTTAAGAAATTGGATTAATAGCTTCATTGTTTTTAGATTTAAGTTGTTAAGTATGCATTTTATATTTGTTGGGAGAGCTATACCATATTTGGATAATTCTTGGTATATATTTATATCAATTGTTTGATTAATTTGACATCCAAAGAATATTTGGTCTAGGTCTTCAATCTGACCCCATTCACAATATGGATTATCTTTTATGCCTATTTTGTGAAGTTGGGCTTTTGTTAAGCAGTGTCCTGACCTCATTCGACATATAGTGGTTAAATGTCTTCTGTTAATAAATTTGAATCTTTTCCACCAAGTTTTTATTGGAAATTTTTCTTGTATTTGTTTGTACCATAAACCTTTATGAGTGGATATATCATTCCAATCTTGCACCCATGACTTAACAACCTCCAACTTAACATCAGGGAGAATTTCCTGCAAATCTGGTTTGAATTTTGGGGGGATCCTTAGATTAACCCCTATTTTTGCTAAAAGGTCTGCAGGGATGTTGCTGTGGCCCGGTATCCATGCCAGAATAAAGTTGAATCCATTTTCGTTAGCTTCCAAAATTAATCCTTTGGTATATAGCGTTATATAGTCATCTTTCGCAGAGAATTTACAACTTGATAATTTTTTAATGGCACTTTCAGAGTCTGATAAAATAATATTGGATTTTATATTTTTGTCTATGGCCATAATTACGCCTTTGTTGATGGCAGCAATTTCTGCATTACAGATTTGCAGATAATCTGGTAATCTAGAGGAATATGATATTTGCTGATCTGGCATATAGATTCCAAAACCGGATTTATTACCCGATTTTGAGGCGTCCTTGTAAATTATATTAAAATATTTTTAAAATTTTTCTATTTTGCTTTTTAATATTAGGTCATTTCACAAGTCCCCCTTTTTCATTTGAAAATTTATAATTTTAGGCTTTGAAAATTGATATTGATATTCTATCGCCGACGGCGTACAAGCCGGAGGTCGTGGGTTCGAATCCCACCAGGGCTATGGCTGTTTATTTGTGTTGTCCTTCGGAGTGGACTTTAAGCCCGCGGTCCGTTCCTACCCCTAACCCGCACAAGCCATTCAGTTGGCTTATGGGACTTCTTAAGAAGTAACTGGAACTAAAAAAGCACATTTGTATACAGTTATATATATATATATATATATATATGTCTTGGAAGTACAGTCCCCTCAAAAATAAATAAAACCGTCTTTGAGGGAGTATACTCTATAATTTATACCTAATTAATACCTAACTATATCTACAATTTTAGGACAAGATTTGTGTTGTCTAAACAGTTCTCACCAAAAAAAAAAATAATAATAATAATAATAACATTAATAACAATAACATTTGAAAATAACAACGACTGTACTTCCATATATATATATATATATATATATATATATATTTTTATTTCCCAGTAAGGATAAATCCATATATCCCTCCTGTCATGCAACGTGGCAAGTGTCTGATGTATGGACACACTAAAAAACAATGTAAAGGAAAACAAAAATGCTTTAAATGTTCAGCATTTCATGAGTCAGACTCATGTAATACAATTAAATGTATGTACTGTAAAAGCGAACTCCATGCATCAAACAACAAGTCATGTCCCAAACACTCCCGACAAAAAGCAATAAAACGCAGCTTGGCGTTTGAGGGATTATCCTTCTTTGAAGCATCCCAAAAAATCTCAAAAACTTACCTACCACAACCTCAACCAAATTTTCACCCTTCAGATTTCCTAGAAATCCCGAGCACCCAAAGAACCAATCATTACAATTCTAATAAAACAAACAATCCTGGACCAGTTATGGCAAGCAAGAGAACACGTAACTTTCTGGAAACAGGATCTCCTTTATCGCCCAAAAGAACACTACAAACTGGCTACAACAAAGAGGCCCACTAAGCCTGTCTATTATCAAACAATGGACGCAGTCCAACCAGTCCAAACCTACAATTATCCTCCCCTCCATCCTCACAATCCACAATCCCACCCTCACAATCCTACCCCCCACCCCCACCCTCACAATCCTCCCAACAAGAAAATACATTTGCATTTGCGCAAGCGCTAACCATGGAATTTTAAATTAAACGGTTGTCTTCTTTTTCTATGGTTGCTGTAACTGAAAATTTAAAAATTCTTGTTTCATGTTTTGATTGAAATTAGTGTGCTAAAATGATAGAAACATAGTCTTTACCTGGTCCAATTCCTTTTTTGATAGATGGCCATAAAATTATTATTGTCTGTTTTTTTTATTACCTTTCGAAAAATTTCATAAACTTTAATCCCGAAAAGTTTTTGGTTTCTCGGAATTATATCTAAGTGACTATAAAATAACTGTTTTTTGATATTTGTTATCAAACGTGGATAGAGTTGTGCCATAGAAACTTGTCCAGTATTGTGTTACTACTGTGTACCAAGCGTCGTTTTTTTTATTCCTGTGTGAAATCAAAGATACAATGGAATGGGATGATGATCTACTTATTTCACTTGTACAAAAATATCCACAACTGTGGAATAAAAGGGACATGCAATTTAAAAATAAAAATGCAAAATCAAATGCTTGGCGAACTATTGCCTGCATTTTGGACGATAGAAGTGGTAAGAATATAGTATAGTAATTTTAAATTATATATTTATTTTTATTTGTTTTTAGCTGAAGAGTGTGAAAGAAGATTCACTGTTTTACGAAATAAGTATGCCTCTGAAAAGCGATCCGAAAAGGCTTCTACAGCATCTGGTATTATATGCTCACATGCAACCTCCCAGTGGCCCCATTACCAAGCTATGGGATTTTTGGATGCCTTCATTTCATTCAGAAAGTAAGTAACATATATTGTTGGTTTAATATAAATTAATAAAAAATATTTAATTTTAGAAGGAGAAATACTGGGAATGTTGTCGAACATGTACAGGACCACCCCAAACCTCCTCTGGAAATACTGGGAAAGTTGCACGAATGCAACATGAAGAGGACTCTCAAACCTCTAGTGTCTATCCCAGTTGATTGAGTCGGCAGCAGAAGAGGAAAGCCAAAGTATGAGGACAGCTGAGTCTGCTGTAGAAGAGGATGCCTCTGAACGTAGGCCAGAGGATCAGAAACCTCAACTCCAAGTGGGAGCCACCACGTAGAGCAGGCTGGCACACTGAGGCAGATGGTTAAGTCGAAGTCCAAAAGGGTCCTAGCAGAGGAGCCCATGCCCCGGGCTTTGGAATCTACCCTATCCACGATTCAAGGGCATTTTCAAGAAAGAAGTGCTCCAACGCCAGCGGTTCCAGCATTTGCTTTGGCAGTGGATCAAAGTTTGGCGTCTATAAGTTAAGTATAAGTTCAAGGCGAAGTCGTAGGGTTCAGGCCCAAATCTATAATTTATTAGCTAACATTGTGAGCGATAGTGATGATTTATCATAAAATAAATATTTTTATTATTAATGAAGTTTAATTTTTCATTATTCTTCTCTATAAAACATAAATTTTAAACTACAATCAGGTTTTAATTAAATATGATGTATTTTTTAAATGAAATCCTAAATTATCTTATTTCCTACAGTATTTAATTTTTTTAATCTTTAGAGCTAGTTATGTAACCCCTCACAATACACCCCTTTGTACCATGTGTTAGATATAAGAACATAGTAGTTAGGTTTTATAGTTTTAATGCAATAGTGATAAGCGACTTATAGCAAAATAGAATTAACCTTAGACATTAAGATAGATAGACAATGTATAAATAAGGGTAAAATCCATTTTTAGATTATTACTGTTTTGGTTGTTGTACAAGTAACATCTAGTCTGTAGAACAAAATAAATGTATTTTCAAAGTTTCAATATTGTGTTTTAAACAAATAAATAAATATTTTTAACCAAGTTCACAACGTGAGAAAGAAAATTAGCTCATTATATAAAATATTTAAAAACTTAACTATATACCTACATATTTAAAACTATTAGTGTATGAAGGTGTTAACTCAATATTTGTAGTTATAACAAAAAGCTTATAATTTTTTTTAAACAAATTTTAATTAGAGTTTTATGCTTGATACAATAATTTTAACAATGCTAAAAAAAATTTAAAAAACCTAATTATTATAAGTCAATTTTTTTGTAATAGAAAAAAGCAAGCCTTAAAAAAATGAGTTAACACCTTCATGTACTAGTAGCTTCATTTAAAATCAAAAATAAGCTTTTCCATGCCATAACTTTGTTTTATATATTATTATTTATCAATTCCACGCATTTGACGTTGCATATTTTCGGCCCATGAAAATAGCTTGGCGAAAAATTTTGCTCGAATATAAAATACAAAACCCAAAAGTCGGTGTACTGCCTAAAAGAATGTTTCCCAAACTTCTTAAACAACTAGTTGATACTGTTATGGTTAAAAGAAGTAAGAATTTAGATAGTGGATTTTAAAAAACTGGCATATTTCCTTTATATAATAAACGTTTTAGGAGGAACACAAATAAGACTCAAGTTCTGATTCAATTCAAAATGCAACTTCGCTTAATAACATTACTTTTTCTCTTAGGATATCTTAGCCGAATGGACTGCCAAGAATGTGACAACATAAGTGACATGGCTATAAAATACATTGTATTGTCGTTGTTGTTGTTGCTCAATAAAGTCTTATAAGTTATACGTGGTTTTAATGTCAAGGTAAGTTATGAAGTTAAACTCAGAAGAACAAGAATAAAGTTGAGACTTCATTTTAGCAAATAGCACAAACAATGAACAAAACACAACGACAGGAAAATCTATGCAAGATGTATCGCTCGAAATTTGACTCAATTATTTAAAAATGTAACAGCAGTAGTTTAAGTGTACCCGGTGTTGCCGGATGGGTCTTTACGTTTATATAGTATCATCAGCAAACCTTCCTCTAAAGTCTACCGTGCATATTCGTTTGCAACCTCGCGATATCTGACACTATAGGTATACATTGCACCAGCATGATGGAACATGTGATCGTAACTAAGTCAGCTCCGTTAAAGCAGAGGTATTATCCATATCCATTAAGGCACGCGAGTTCTGGTCCAGTGCTCGGATAATTGAAACCGAGCCCACATGCTCTATTAATCTAATCTATTAATGCATTAGCCGTAGTAAAATCGCCTACTAAATTAAATACTTTATTAACAAATACCGAACTGACAGAGGATCAGTTGTCTTTAATGTCTTCGAGTAAATTATCCCAGCCGACCAAGTAAAATGCACATCTTTTAAATTTGCATGCAGACACTACCGAAAATTATGAAGACATAAGTAAACCTGGACCATCTAAAAGGTAAGTACATGAAAGGTAAATATTTATAAGTTGTTATTTGATGTGGATTAGGCCTATAGGGGACACCACGTTAAAGAAAAATGACATTTTTACCATTAACGATAGTTAGAAAATAACTTTAATGTGAAAATATTTTTTATAAATTATAATAAATAAATAATATAAAATTTCTATACATATATATCGAGTCAAATGTAATCAAAACATTGACAAAGTTTTTTTTTTAATTAAGTCACTAACTTCAACATACATATAACTAGGAACAAATTTTCGAACGCAAAAACGAAAAATGCACCGATACTTGATTCAAGCGATCAACTACCTAAACCCCGTATAGCATACGGCGCGAGCAGATCAGGCAAGACAGAGTAAGCATGTCGGCTCGGTTTCAAATATCCGAGCACTGTTCTGGACGGGTATTCTCTTAATACGTTAAGGCCGTATTACAGCCGGCAATTGTTTCGGCAATGGTAGAGACATTTCGACGAATCTCTTGCAATTTCTGAAAATCGGTCCGGATGGATTTTTATTGCCGTTTCACGGCAATTCTGGGGTGAAATTTGGTAACTTTTATGTTACCAACCCTACTACAAATTCCCTAGATAGACGCTTCTTGACAGTTTAAGGTTGTTTATGTTTTGTCGTTATTTGTTTATGATTGGCATTGTGTTCAAAGTTTTGTGTTAGTTAAATATGGCGTGTAGCAAGAGGTAGGTTTAAATTTATTACATTATAATAAATATTACGAATCTAATAAATTAACCTCTTTCAGTAGTTATGACTGGAACAGGGAGGACACCACCCTACTTATACAATTGTATGAGCAGTATCCATGTCTGTATTTAACAACTTATAAAGGGTACCATGACAGAAACCAGAGAAGTAAGGCTTTTCAAGCAATAGCTGAAGAATTTAACAAAAAAAAACTTTCATCAAATGAGTTAACTGGTGAAATTATTAAAAAGAAAATCCATGGTATAAGAACCCAGTTTTTGTCTGAAATTTCAAAAATAAAAAAAAGTGAGGTATCAGGGGCTTCGCATGACGATGTATATAAACCCAAATTATGGTGTTTCGACCAGCTAGTTTTTTTGCAGCAGGGATCGGAGGTGGTCAGCAGTGGAGAGTCGAATTTGATGCTTTCTTCAAATATATGCACTACATCAATTCTTGAAGATGAGGTGAGTGTGAAATTTAATTTATGGCGTACAAATTACAAATAATTACAATAACTTTGGTTTATTTTAGCTCGATTCTGAAATAATATACGAGGGAGATGTGGAAGATTTGAGGGATAATGTTTTTTCACCTCCACCCTTAGCTTCACGATCCAGTTCCCAAAGTTCCTTTACTCCACAAACTGGTCGGGGCAAAAAAGGAAACAATCCAGGGAAACAGAAGAACAACTGTCAGGACTATTTTCGACTGCTGTATCAGCATTGGAAGGGCTAAACAAGGCTGAAACAACTGGCCTAAAACATTTGGCTTTTGCAAGGTATATTACTTCTTGACATACTGACTAATTCAAGAGTTATTGTAACTTTTGCATATTCATTTATTTCATTTGTAATTTATTTCAGATATGTGGCAGAAGAAATGGAGAAAATTGATGATGAAGGCCTTTTGGATGATTTAAAGGAGTCAATCATGATGGCAATTTTTACTACAAAAAGAAAGTGTAGAGACAGGCAAAATTAGTAATAAATATAATTTTATATAAATATATTTTTATAATTTCATTGCCTACATTTATTTATAACATATCCTACAAAATGAAAGTGAAGGGGAAAATAAAATAGATAATAAGACATTTTTAAAATAATTTACAATACATCGTCATCGTGCTTAAAAATTGGACATCTTAATCATAATATAATTATTTGATATATTATGATTTTGATGTCTGATTTTAAAGCAAAAGTTTAATATTTTATAGGATAATAAATATTTTTTCTTCAAAATATTAAACCATTGCTTTAAAATCAGACATAATCATAATAATATTATATTATAATAATATATTAGGTATACTTACTATAATTTGGAGTCTAATTTTAAAATAAAGGATAAAATAAAAAAAAAATAACTAGGTATTAAAATATTGAATGGTAAAATATGAGATACCCTGTTGTAATAATTGGGTTGAAATATATTTTTATTATTAAATTAATGTATACATAATAATATTATATTATATCCTAACTATCCTACAAATACAACTTAACTCGATATAAAATATAAATTAAATTAAATCATCCTGCCAAGGAACACTACCACACCCATGAAAATATTCTTTAAATTCTTCCCTTATAGCAAGGGCTTCATTTCTAGGCCTACCACTATTTTGCCTACTTAAGCCAAAAATAAACCTATATCTTTTATCAATCTCCTCTTCGGGATGTTGTCCTAAATATAAAGTTTTATTTTCTGTGGTCAAAAAATTATGAAGTACGCAGCATGCTTGGGTTATTACTTGTGCCTTTATAGGTTTTAATGGAATTGTATTCAATAAAACTCTGAAACGGTTAGCCAATATCCCAAAAGAGTTTTCAACCACACGACGAGCTCGACTTAGCCTGTAATTGAAAATTCTTTGCTCTCTTGTCATGTTCTTTAAATGATATGGTTTTAAAATATAGGTAGAGAGACCAAAAGCAGCATCGGTTAGTATGACATGTGGTACTGATTTTACTCTTCCTGGTAGTGGTTTGTTTTCAGGTACATTT